TAGTTTATATGCTTTAAGTGATACATCCCTAAAATTTTCAAATATATCGCACAACATTAAAACATCTGATTTTAAGTATAAATCAGAATAAGATCCCAAAGTTTGACATTTAAATACATTCCAAACTTTCTGAGCCCTAGCATATTCCTCATCAGTTATGTGGCAATTATTTAACTTGTCATAAAACTCATCTTTTGAAGGTAAATTGGGGTGATCTAATTTCATTATATTATCCATGAAATTATATGGAAACACCCCCTTCTGCCTCATTAAATCGAATTTTTCTTTTTCTGCAAAACATTTCCTTGTTTCAACAAAAAATTCTGATGGCAGGTTTTCTGACAGTCCAGCCAATGAATCAGCTAAAAATCTGTAACTATCCAAAAATCTAAGTTTTATGTAATTTTTTCTCAACATACCATCTCTATCTACATAGCTATGGGTGTACAATGGTTTAGTGAACGAAATATATTTTTCTTTATTTTGTGCAATAACTTCGGTCCTCTCACCTTCGCCATACAATTCTTTAATAAATAAATGACTGTCATACCCACTCAAATTGTGGAAAAAGATTGGAACAAATTGTGGGATTTTATAATTTAAATTACAATTGCTATGTGCGGCGCCAGGTGTTTTCTTACCGGTAACATGACAATGATCTCTTACTTTAACGTCACCTTCCTGAAAAGGCTCATCGCAAATAGAGCATATAGTTGACGAGTTAAAATCATCTATTTCATCATTAGACAGCTGATGCATCGGAACAACGTCTTTTAAATAGGTATTATAAATAGTTAAAACATCGTCCTCTAGCCGTTTCACGAAATCGCTACCAGCATTATCACCCGTAAAAGTTACAAATTTCGTCAATGAATTATCAAACGAACATTTAATCAAATATGCAAAAGAATATGGTTCATGTTGGTATGTCGGGATAGTAAACTTTTTTTCCGGATCTGGTTCGCAAGTATCTATTGGTTTTAAAATCGATTCAAAATCAGCGTAAATTACAAATGGAACCCTAAGTTGCTTATCATAATTTTGAAACTTAAGTATGTTTTCAGGTACATAATTACCGCGTTTATCTTTTTTCAGCTCCACTGATGGCGTGCTGGTGTATATATGATTACAATCGCGCAATTGGTGCCGCAATAGTATGCTTTCAGATCGGAAATAAAGTAAACAGCCGTCACAAAAAAATTTTTTGTGCTCATTTCTAGTTACTTGATTCGATACCAATCTGGAAATATTTTTAATCCAACAATAGTGACTATTTCCTGAATCCTCCGTTATTAATAGTAAATTTATATGGTGACCTAACCTCCTAGAGGAATATCGTAATGGGCCTACTATTTCGAATTTAACCTTACCATTTTCATAACTACGTTCCAAACCATAAACATTAACACTTATGTCATTTAAATCTTCAAATTTTGAAATGTCTTTAAGCTTCATAGGGAATTCAATACCATCAACATTCAGCACGGCCTCGAAGTGTGGATACGATGTCGTTAGGTGAACATTGTCCCTCGCTGGATATAGCGCCGACGTGATGGCCCAAGCAAAGCAATACGCATCATTGTTTTGGACATTAACTACACCCTTCTTGGTTTCAATAAACTTAGGGAGCTTAATGTACGAGCAGCCGCCCAATGGGGAGTACTTATTTATATTAACTTCTAAAAATAGTACTTCCCGTAATGTCCAACCTGAAACAATTAGTAATATATTAGTAAACGCTATACTATGAATTATAAAACTACTATACCTGAATCCTTATGTTGAAAGTCTGCAGTTTGAGATACCACAGCGTCCTTAAAGTCTACATATACCGCATCCAAATCCGTCGACAAATCGAGTATTCGATTTATGCTGTTAAAAGATTTGATTTCAGAAACATCTTGGCTCTCCAATGCATAAGTAGCAAAGGCCTCTACATTAACTTTAATGGCATTATGGGCCTTCAGAACAACTTTTAACAATTTCAATACTCTTAATTTTATCGCATCAAAAAATGTTACATAATCTATATGTTTTTCATCACATTTAAGCCTGTAAGTTGCGATTCTGCACTTAAACGCGCTCTTAATTAAATATATACCATCAGCATGAATTGCACAGGCTTTTTCTTTATGCCCAAGACTCCTCATATGCGACGTCATCTGATTGGTAGGGACATCTACATTACATGATTCACATCTTCTATTATGGGCTTTTGAGTCTACGATGCGATGCGTATGAACTTGTGGAACTCGCATTACCCGGGCTTTTTTTTCAGGTGGAACATCATTACTGGGAGTAGTAGATCTCTTCGTACCTCCGGATGATTCGCCGATGCGGTTAGATATCAGCTTGCAACTTTTATTTTGATGTCGACGTAAATTATCTACCCTTGTATATGTTAAACCACAATTGCACTTATACATGTTTATTATTTTTATGATTATTTCGATATTAGATGATAGAACTCCCGATAGGCTTAAAGCTAACGATATTTGTACGGATTTGGATGCGGGTCCTACTATATATATCCTCTAGAAAATTCCACCACCTCTTCTTAGCTCCTCCCTCGATATTTCAGTTGGGTGCGTCTATCTCCGGCGCAGCTACCCCTTCTTAGTCCCTTACCACAATATTTCGGTTAAGCACGACCGTCTCTAACGCAGGCTAAGCACTCTAGGCACGACGGCCGAGAGTTAAGGACGTGCTGCCAACAGTAATCACTAGGAGACGCTTAGATAACATTCACTACATTGCATACAGTAATTACTACCTAAGGTGTACTTACACTTTAATATGTATGGAGTAATGAGATGTATACCCTGTGGGTAATTGGGAGGTACTTATTATGCAATTACAATCATTACAGTATGGCGTGTAGATGGTAATTGGGTGGTACTTACTGTGCAATTGCACTTATTACAGTACATGCTGTAATTGGGAGGTACTTTCTAATTGCGCGTCTATCTCTGTCGCAGGCTACCCCTTCTTAGTCCCTTACTTCGATATTTCGGTTAAGCACGACCGTCTCTAACGCAAGCTATGCACTCTAGGCACGCCGGCTGAGAGTTAAGGACGTGCTACCAACATTAATCACTAGGAGGCGCTTAGATAACATTCATTACACTACATTGCATACAGTAATTACTACCTAAGGTGTACTTACACTTTAATATGTATGAAGTAATGAGATGTATACCCTGTGGGTAATTGGGAGGTACTTATTATGCAAATACAATCATTACAGTATGGCGTGTACATGGTAATTGGGAGGTACTTACTGTGCAATTGCACTTATTACAGTACATGATGTAATTGGGTGGTACTTACTGTGCAATTGCACTTATTACAGTACATGATGTAATTGGGAGGTACTTGCTAATTGCGCGAAGGGTGGGGGTACTTAGGATAATTACTAATTACCCAATTACCTCTCTCTGTACCTCTTTCTCATTTCCAGAACCGGCCAATTACATCTACTAAATTGGTTTTGAGTATTTTCAAAGTAAACTTGACAAAAAATGTTTAAATTTACCAAATAAAAAGTAATGTTTTTGTGTACTTACTTTTTATAAATAAATAATTTTTTTCTGCACTTTTATTTTCATTTCACATAATAAGAAAAGAGATTGTAAGAGAACTACCACGCCAAGAAAGTACAAATTTGAGTCAAACTTGTATTTTTGGTCTATATCTTTTACTTATCTTATGGCCAGGTTATGGATTTTGTCACAAAATACCTATAATTTATGAGAAAAATTAATATTTTTATTAGTATTATTTACCTTAAACCCTCATATTTGTAAACGAATTTATTACAAAATAACCAACAAAGCTTAAGTAACTTCATAAAATCTAAAATAGGCAAAATATATAATTTTAAACATTATCTCCCATTTAATGCTTATAATTCTATGTCCCACGTGACGTCACCGTCAGTCAGCTGCATGCGCAGGAACATACCGTTAGTCTGTGTATCGTGTTGGTGATACAGTGTGAAGGGCGAGTCTATCTTAGATAATATGATGTCTATGTGTCGAAGGTACGAATGCAATACTGATGCAAAATGTAGAAAGGGGTCTCAGTAATATTTCATAGGAGTAATTTTGAAAAATTTATTTAGGGATTTACAGAGACAGTACGGCCAGATGACCTGGCAGAGGATTAATATTTGAAATTTAACATGTTTAAAAAATTGGATATATTTACGCGTTAGGTTACTGTCTTGATATGTTTTATGAGAAATTTCAGCAAACTTAAATCCAATTAACTTTTTGTGGCAATTTTTGTGAACTAGTGGTTTTTTAGAAAAAACATATTACAATCTTGCAATACGAAGATAATGACCACAAGACCAAGACCAATCTCGCACCATCACTACCAACAGCTCCTCCGGGATGTCTCTGCCCACTGATATACATATCTTCACAAAACTATTTTTAAGATATCGCAATATTTGTATATTTATAACATTTTATAGAGTTCAATGCCACAAATCGGAAAACAACTAAACAACTATAGCTTGAACTAGCTAGTTTCAAATATCTACAATAAAATGAATATTTGTAAAAAATTAACCTAAATATTGTTTTTAACTACTTTTAGTAAACACATTTATGTGTAAAAATACCTTCATCTATTAAAAATATAGGAAAAATACTGTAATATAAAATATTTTATTATTTTGTATTTTTTATTTCAGGGTTACTTTTGGATTATCAAAAATAAATAATATTCCAAAATCGAATTTAAATATAATGCAATAGGCCATATGAATATTCAGCCTCGGCTGTGGTCATTTAATTAATAATATGTATTCCTAAATTTTAAACTTGCTATTTTCTGAATTTACATATCTAAATTCATAAATTTAAATGCAATTAATTTGCATATATTTGATACAAAAAATTATGAGCATTGGCTTTCTAGGGGGGCATTGTCAAATATAAAAAAGGATGTTCTTCTCAGATCATTGTCACAGTTCATCTATCTCAAGCAAGATGCGACCATTTATCATAGTAAGTACTTTTTAATAATTTTTGTTAAAAGAAAAACATACCGGGATTAAATTTTCATTTTTGATTGCCAAGTAATGTTACTTTTTCAAAAACATTACTTATTTTTTATTATAAATACAGTTGATAAGTAGTGATGAAAATTTACCAAAACTGAATGTTAAAATGTATATCCACGTACCTAACTCAAAAATGTCAAAATGAGGCTTAGATTTTGGATTTTGGAGATTTAAAGTTTTTAAGCCATTTTTCATGATTTATTTTCTTATTAGGACTAATATTTTACAGAATTTTGATTCTATTGTTGTATTAACTTGAACGCCCTTAGATAGTTGGGTAAACAAAATAGACTAACTAAATGTCAAATATCTATAATAGTGGATTTCTATAACAGCGATCTTTGATTTGGTCTTTTGAGTACAGGTGACAGGGCTATTCACTTTGTGTGAAACTCGTAAGACATTACTATGAGCAGTGAATGACTTTTCTACTTTTAGTGTGGATGAGATATACCACATGATCTCATAATAATTATAAACTTATAATTTAATGTCCCAATGAGCATTTAGCCCTGGAAGTAGTTATTTATGCTTACATATTCTCTCAAAATGTATTATCATAGCACTTTGAGTTTGCATTTAAAATAAAATTATGTTTTTAAGTCTTAAAATTCCCTTAAATTATTTTATATAGGTACTTAGACTTTTTAATAATTAATTGTACAACTGTTACAATATTTTAAAATTCGTTAATATTGAACATGAAAAACAAATGTTTATGTCTCCATAGACAATTTCAAAAATTATGTAACTGATGTGTTAAAACTGATAAATATGAAGTATTAACCCTATTACTAAATATTTCCCTTCTCAATTTTTTACTTCTTTCTGGGAAAAAATAATAGTGTATTTACTTATTTTGGTCAGTAATTTCTGGGTAAAAATATATCAGACTTCGTATTTTCTTATTTTTTTTTTTTGTTAAACATATAAGAGCACTTTTAAAAATGAAATTAAAATTAACATCTTTTAATTAGGATTTAATTAATTACTGTGATTGGTTTAATTTGATCAGCTTAATTATAGACACCGTACCTTGTTATTAACTTGTTTGATAAGTAACATATAATTATAACTATTAATACAAAAGTTTTTATACTTAGTAATTAGTTTAAATAACGATAACCTTATTATCAAACACTAACATACATACATTATTATTCACTGTAATTATATTTCCACACTTAGATAAAGTGAAATGCTTTTTTTATAAAGAAAAATCTTCGTCAAGCTACCTCAAAATTACAATGTGTAACTGATAATTAAAATAAGATCTTAGATTGACTTTCTTAGTGCAAGATTAATTAATGATATTATGAACAGAGTACCTTTAAAATAGTTTAATAATATTTGTTTCAAATTTCTACAACTAAATGACATTAATTTACTCAATTTTTTTTCAGATTTTTGCCATCGCTGTAACAGGAGCTTATTCACAGAGCTACAATTATCCACCACCTTCGCAACCAATAGGATTGGGCAACTCACCCCATGGATCCATCGCAGATTTGCCACTAAGTTCAGGTTACAACTATCCATCCCCAGGTGGTTCAGCCTCTCAAGGTATAAGATCATCTCTACCCGCACCTTCAAGTAGTTACGACAGCTCACCATTCGGTAGTTCTCCATCAGGAAGTTCTTTATTCGGTGGTTCGCAAGGCTACAACTACCAACCTCCTGCATCAGCTTCAGGTGGCTTCCAATCAACTGGACCATCTGGCGGTTTTGATAGTTCTTCTTTCGGTAGTTCTCCACAAGGATCCTCTTTTAACGGTGGCAATTCTTTGGGCGGATACAATTATGATTCTCCTGGGTTCGCTTCAAATGGCGCATCTTCTTTTTTACCCAGACCACATGACCTTTCTTCAGCTGGTAGCTTCCCAGCGCAAAATTTCAACCACGGACAGAGCGTAGCTCCTTCTCTTGATTACGGTGCACCTTCTGGATCGCACTCTCATCCGCACCACAACAACGCTCCATTTCCAAGCGAACAAGTCAATAAACACGTTTACGTTTACGTTGCTCCTCAAGATCCTCAAGAAGCAGCTAGCAAGCAAGTTTTCGTACCATCGCCTGTAGTCAACCATAAGATTATCTTCATCAAGGCACCACAACAAGCTCAAGTCAAGAGTCAAGTCATTCCTCTTCCACCAAAAACCGAAGAGAAGACATTGGTTTATGTATTGGTTAAGAAACCAGAGGAGCAACAAATTGATGTTCAACCGCTACCACAAAGAGCAGCTTCTAAACCAGAGGTATACTTCATCAAGTACAATACCAAAAAGGACGGTGGTGATAATGGTGGCCTGCCAAGTGGTGTACAACCTCATCCCGGTTTACCTATTGTAGAAGATGTAAGACATGGAGGGCAAGATCCTAGCACTAGTCAATCAATAAATCAGGGTTCCCCAATCTATGGACCTCCTCATTAATGAATGAATGTGACGTGTAATTTTACTGGACTGTCTAAAATACTACTGTATATTCTGTATATATTATTATATTTATATCGTTGTTAAGATTTGCAATAAAAATACGGTGACAAATTCAAACAATGTATTATTTAAATTAGAACTGTTTTGTGAGTGAATGTATTACTATTAAATAGTCCCTTAACAGAGATAAGGGATTCTACAGTTTATTGTGATAAAATTGGTGATATTCAGTACGGTATAAAAAGTGTATATTAAAAGTGAACCGGTTCTCCTAATTTAAATTTGTGTGTTTCAAAAAGAGTATCAGTGTACAAGTTTACAAGTTATGAAAGTAATTTTAAAACACTCAAGAAATTAAGAATTTGATGATTTTTTCATAGGAATCATCATCAGATCTTGATCAAATTAATATGGTACCCCTAAGGTACTCACTCTCTTTAAAAATATTTATAGAAGTCGAACATCTTGGCAAACATACATAAAAAAAATGCGAGGAATTGAGAACCTTCTCCTTTTTTTGAAGTCTGTTAAAAATGAACACATTTGTGATCTAGAAATATACTGAACTGGACTAATATTTAGTGTTATAACTGTGTCTACAGTGAAACAACTTACTCCAACATAATGCAACAACACAAAACTTTACCTATGTTGGAATATGTTGTGATATACCAATTGGTGTTGCGGTACAACAAGAATTGTAATATGTTGCGAGAATCTATATTTTGCTACAAAGATCAAAGGACTATTTGAAACAAATTTGATATGGATGGAATGTTGAGAATATTCGAAATTTTAAATAAATACATCAAGCTGGTGTAGGAAGCGCAATATGAAAGCAAATTGTTTTTCTGCTGATATTACTTTTCTACAATAACTGGTATCTGCTTTTAGTATTAGAGCTGTTATTTTTTGAAGCAATATTATCATATCAGAATTAATGCACCCATCAGTTCGAAGTTCTAATGTAAGGTCCTTTTTCTTCAAATCTAATAATAAATTCTTTCCGCCATATTCTTCCCTTCTCTTCAAACTTAAATAAACTCAATATTTACGCTTCCATTTTCGCGAATTATCATCCACAAGTACAAAGGAGGCAGCAGTTATCAATTAGTCTTCTTCCATGTTAGACTCACTTACAACCAGTGTATACAGAAAGTTACTTACTGAAAGTGATTTTAATCAAAATTTCATTTTTAGTAATCCCTTCCACCTAAAGAGATGAAAACATGTATCTGTTGATATGGGCAAAGTTATCAAAGATAAGTGTATGGGCCAAAAGAACACGATTTTTAACATGGTTGTCGGATCCCTTCTCTGGATGTCACCGAGCAGATTGTAACATTCCTCCAAAAGAGTAAACAGTATCCGAGGTAAGTTTTGTTTCAGCTTTGTATTGAATTTGTCTTTTGTGTTTTGATGGTTAATTTTTTATTCTTTTATTAGCCATAGTGCCTACATGTAAAAACTTGCTGAAGTCAGTATGATCTCTCGAAGTTTTTGTTTGTAAATAATCTCTAAAAAGTAGTTTCCAGTCGTTAGATATTAATTATGAAATTATATAGAAGAGACTGGACAGTTTTTTATTCAGCTGCGTTTTGACTACATTTAGTGGTTCAATGCACATTTTTGATTCAATAATACGTACATCTGGACAATATTTAAGGTTGCCAGATTAACGAAAGTGAAAAGCGTGACAACCGTGATGACAAAGCATCAGGTTCAAATACCAAGCATTTTTATATAATAAGGTCCATTATTTGTGAAATTTAAAAAAAAAGTCTTCACCTTATATTTTTCTATAAAACCAATTCCTCCTTTTTATTTACGGCTTTGAATATTAGAAAGCGTGGCATTTGCATAAAAAGGGTGGCATTTTTGTCAAAAGCACGACATTTTCTACTGTGGCGTTGAGCGTACAAGCAAGTCAAAAAGCGTGGAAAATACGCCTAAAGCGTGACGTCTGGCAACCCTAGCAATATTCGAGGAAAACCTTATTAATATTTAACATATAGTAGGTTTGGATATGGCCGAACTTAGGTAAGTTCACTATAACTATGTCATAAGTTAAAAGCTCATCAGTTAAAAATAAACACCTATATATTAATATTAAACTTATTTACTGCTTTAAAATTAAAATAGATTTATTAACATAAATCAAATATGTTAAATATTAACAAATATATGTTTTAACGTTATATTTTAATTGTTCAATACAACATTTGTATCATAGTTATCAAATGTGAACTTTTACTATTAAACGTTATTTGTAAATGTTAAAATGTGATTGTTAACAGTTAATAAACCTATGTTTTGTATTATATTTCATTATTTTATAAAGCAGTATTCTATATTTCCAAGACATCTTTGTATCTTAGTTATCAAATCTTACATTTTATTATTAAAAATATTAATTGTAAATGTTAAAATTTGTTTGTTAACAGTTAGGAGCAGTATAGTTTAAGAAACCTTGTGTATGTTTAATATTATACTTTAATTGTTTTATAAAATACTATTCGATTTCCAAGACATCTTTTTATTTCAGTTATCAAATGTTTTATGTTATTAATTAACATATTATTTGTAAATGATAAAATTTGTTTTTATCTGTTAATTGATGATTTTGAATCTAGTAATTTATATTTGTTAGTATTTAGCCTAAATATATTAGGGATATGAAATCAAAGGTATACATACAGAAAATATATTTTATTAAATTGAAAAGTTAACAATACATGCTTATAAATTTCAACAAACATGAACAAATGAAAAAAACTAATATTAAATGTAGCGGCCGATAGGTGGTACAATGGTGCCTCCGGCTGAAATTTTATAAGGTGAGTGGCAGGTCCATCAGGAAGTGTTATCTACAAGGATTTCGTTTATAACCCCCGCAAACGGGACGTGTTTCGTGACGCACGATCGAATGTCGGTCAAACCCAATACATTTTCTTGGAAAACTATGAAAATTAAAAAAAATACTTTTTAGGAGACTGTCAAGAAAAATAACATCTTTAAAGTGTCACTTTTTTGGCCACATTTATTTTACAGCAGCTTTTTATAAGCATAGGTATATTATAATTATCGTTAGTAATGTTATACAAATTTAATTAGTTAACGATCGAATAATAAAAATTTGAAACAATTCTTGCATTTAAGCATCTTCTTAAAAACAAGAATGTGACAAAAATATTGGCTCAACTTGATGAGATAGTCGCATAAAAAATGTTGTGTACACCTCGACCGTATAATCTTTTTTGACCTAACCAGAAGTTGCTTGGTCTCGGCAGCAAACTACTGATTCGGCCAGAAAATATCAACTTTATGGCCTTGGTACGCGTACCTATTATTAGAATTTAATAAATAAATATGATTACTTACTAGGATAAAAAATCACTGTAACCTTTTAATAAACTTAGCTGCTAATGTCGGTCGGCGTCACTTACAAAAAGAACGATTCTGCACTGCGAACTGTAAGCAGACAAGGACTTGCTTAACAAAATGGCAATTAGAAACCACGTGGTGTTCCATGTTGCCAATTTGTGAAACTCAAATTACCTACCCACTGGGACTGCATACTGCACTTAAAAAAATGCAAATTTATAATACAATAATTAGTTATAGGCCACTAGTAATACAGCAAACAACTTTTAAAATAATTTACTCTAGTTTTATGTTAACGATAAATAGAAAAAATATTGCAAAATGGACCTAATAGGTAATTTGAATTGTTTACATTTCCTATGATAGCGCAATAACAAAACGTGAATGGCAACGTTGAGATCGGCGCATTAAGGGGACGTTGAGTCTGTGTATTATTAACAATATATTTGCTAATAGTTAACTTATTATAGTTGTATATTAAAATTTATTTATTTCGTAGAGCGCGAAAGCACAATTGTTATATTTATAGTGTTGTATTTTAATATTAAGAAATTTGTAATGTTTAGATAAACATAATAGTTATTTTTAAATATACGTATATTGCAGAGTAAAATATTTGTTAATAACTACTATACCTTGCTGTAACAAATGTTTTGTTAAAGAAAAACTCGTATTTGTGAAATATTTATTAATAATTATAATATTATGGTATTAATAAATTTCCTTAGTTAATTTTTAAAGAATTTCTTCCTAACTTACAATATTTTAAATATAAACTACTTTTTTCTCAGTGTGTTTTTGTTTGCTATAGGTTAATTTTATTAATCATAATTCATGCTTGTGGATCAATGGATTTCATATGAGTATCGAAAATTTGAAAAAACAATTTCCTAATTTTTTTATTGACAACACTAAGGCTCATCAATAGCTATCAAACAAAACTAAATAAAGAAAATCGGTTCGCAAATAGGAGAGAAAATGGTATTTAACTATTTTGTCTTTGCCTATTTATATATAAATAGTGCCTTATTTATAAAGTAATGTAATCAAGTAAGCACATGTCATTAATGCTCAGATAGGTCGATTTGTTTTTTATATGCGCTTATTTTGGTATACGTATATACTCCAGATCCCTAAACCTCAATATAAAATGGGCTGTGAACAATAGTGCCAGTGTAGTTCAAACAGAGCTCACGGAGATTCTCATAGCAGCAGAAGAAATTATCTGAAACAATATCACTGGAGGGAACATGCTCATCTATACAGATAGCAGACAAGCACTACTCATTCTGAACAGACCACAAATTTATTCAGGGTTAGTAGTAGAATGTCACGAAGTTTTGGCCGAAGTATCCATCAACAACATGGCCACCTTAAGTTGGATCAAAGCTCTCGCCACATCGAAAGGTAACCGTCGTGCTGATTCACTGGCCAAGAAAGCAGCCAATCAAATTTTTTTTTGGACCTGGTCCTTCTATTGGCCTGACAAAATCGGTAGTGACAGACATAATTAAAGAACATTCCCTTGTGAAATTCAAGGAAAGGTGAGATGAAACAAGAAACTGCAGAGTTGCCAAGGAGCCTTTAAGTTAGCCTGACAACACTGCAGCAAACAAATACTTGACTATGACTAGACAGAATCTGCGCCTAGTCATTGCCAAGTACGGAAGCATCTCCATATCATGGGGCTGTCAGA